TTTGTAATTATGAGACTTAACTTGGCTGTCTCTTTTTTAGTGTGGTACTCTCAGTGCTTAGCACAGTGCTTGACACAGAGTAGACCATCGATAAATATTATGGGTGTGTGAATTTTTAATCTAGTCAGAAAGGTGGAAGAAGGAGGAGGTTTCTGGTTTAGATAAATCAATACACGGTACAGTTACCAAACTGAGAGAGAAGATCAGCCAGCAAGAGGAATGAAGAGTTAGTTCAACTTAGTATTTAATATTTGAAGGACTTTTAAGCCATTTGAGTGTAGGCCTATGAGCCTAAAGTCTCAGAAGAAGAGTTGGTGTGGAAAGGTAGATTTGAGAATCATCAACCTACTATGGGGTAGGTGACATTATCCAAGGAGAGTATAAGTGAAGAGAAAAGGGGAAGCCTGGAAACCTTGGGGAATACTTGCATGTAGGGGCTGGTGAAGAAAGGGGAGAACAAGGAAGCATATTTAGAGAGTTTGAAGGAAAACCAAGAGAGAGCCATGTCCCCTAAGCTAAGGGAGTTTGGTTTCAGGAACATCAGGGATGTCTGATGCTGCTGAGGTCCCAGAAGAAGTGCATGGCCACCAGAATATTACCTCTGTCACAGCAGGGATTTTTGTCTGTTTTGATCATTGCTGTGTCCCCAGCACCTAGAACATCCTGGCACATAGTAAGCACTCAGTAAATAACTGTTTAATGAATGAATGAAGAATGAATTGAAAAGGGTCCCTTGAATTTAGTTATAGAACCACAGGACCTTGGTGAAGGCATTTGCAGAGGAGTGGTGGAAAGGGAAGCCATGTTGTTATAGAGGGCTAAGGAGTAGATAGGGTGTCAGAAGTAGCTACCAAGAGAGGACTGGGATGGCCAACTTCATGAGCACTTGTGTGCCAGGCATTGACGAAGTCCTTTACCTGTACGGACTCATTTAATCTTCCCAACAGCCCAGTAAGGTAGGGACTAATCACAATCCCCATTTTTTTGGATGAGGAAACTGCAGCACAGCGAGAAAATAACTTGCCCAGGGTCCCACAGCTAGAAAGTGTTGAAACCAAGGTTTGAACCCAGATCTGCCTGGCTTTGAAGTTCAGCACCTAACTACTTAGGCTGCATTTCCTCTGGGGTTCCTTTGGGACCAGAAGCAAGAGGAAGAATCTGTTGGAGATGACATAGAGGTGCAACCAAGAAGACTTGGAAATATTTGAATGCTGATGGGAAAGAACCAGTAGAAAGAAATAATTTGAAGATTTGGGGGAAAGGGGAAATTATTTATCGAAGAGGAGCCTAAGGAGAGATCCAGAGGACAGGTGAAACGAAACGCCTTCCACCAGGATAGGAGACGAAGATAAAGATTAGGCATGTGTTGCAAATGTTTTTGTCAGGGAGGAGAGGAGAAGTAAAGTAAAAATCTTTAAAGATTAAAGAGGAGTTCTCTTCTAATTGTCTACTTAGAGTAAAGGTGGGGGGGGTGATCAAGTTACAGACTTGAAGAAAGTGGCTCAAAATTGAAATAGCTGTCGCAGAGGGTAGAAGAACGCAGTGGTGGAAATGGGGGATTTTCAGGGCAACATCAAGGGCCCAGCCAAAATGAGAGACCATGATTGTACAGCAGCCAAATCCTGCCATTATATGACTTTCTGTCTTCCCTCCAGTAGGTTGCAGTAGCCAGGGTCAGTGCACAAAAGGTAGATGTTAGATTGATCCAGGGTTGAAGGTTTTGCCCACTGGATGAGCAGAAGAAAAGGACAGGTTGCTGAGAGTACTGGCTAGATTGTGTTTGAGGTGAGGGATATGCACACATAGGCCAGGAGGGAAGCAAGTGAAGGTGGGAGAGAACAGAAGAGTGATGGAGTTGATCCCTGGGTGGCTTAGCAGTTTCGTGCCTGCCTTTGGCCCAGGGCCTGATCCCGGATTCCCGGGATCGAGTCCCGTGTTGGGCTCCCGGCATGGAGCCTGCTTCTCCCTCTGCCTGTGTCTGTGCCCCCCCTCCATGTCTATCATAAATAAATACAAATAAATCTTAAAAAAAAAAAAAGACTGATGGAAGGGTCATAGCACTGGCATGTGGAGAAAGTTCCAACAGTGGGACTTGTAGAAAAAGGGTCTCAAGAGTTCCACATCCAGAGCTGGCCTGTCTGTGAGGCATAGGCTAAATTATGCTAAAAGGGGAGAGGTGCCAAAGGTAACTAATGTTTTCGTTGTAAACACTCCTGTACTGTGTGAAATTTTCCCCCTTTTTAAGTTTAGAAGATGCAAACTTTTACGGTGAACTAGAGGAAGAGAGCAGCTCTGCATGAAAGCAGGAGGACAACAGGGCTGTGGAGATAGGAGGTGATGGCCATGGCATGGGACCCTGAAGCACACTATCTGTGCGTGGAGTCACAAGGTGTCATCTCTTTGGAGGAGTAGCCAGGATGTGGCCCTGCCTTGCCATTACTTGCAGAGGAGAAAAATAGGAGCCCCGAGACGTGCTCAGCTTAGCAGCCACAGAACTGGAACCAGCCTTTCCTGATTTCCCAACTCAGTGCTCTGTTTGCCATGTTTTTTTCCTGAGCACCTGAGGCATCAGACTTTCCTGTTGTGCCAGCTGGGCTCACTGTGACTGTGCCATGCCATGCTTCCTACACACCTCCATTCTTCCCAGTGCAGAGCATGTGGGTGCATGGGAGGAAGCTGGCCTGTCCCCTGCCTATTTCCTGCTTGCTTCAGGGTAGCAACTTGGATACGGAAAACCGCAGTGGTGATATACTATTTACATCCTTTTAAATGATCCAGTGTCCCTCCTGTTTTGCCAGTTCTCACATTGCTGCCTCCCCTAGAACTTCCCCCTCATGGCTTGTTGAAATAGCAGCCATGATTCTGTACCTCCTTTATCAGCCTAAACCCAAATGAGTCCCTGAGAGCACTTAGGACAGGGATTCTTCACCTAAGATTAGAGGCAGGGGGTGGAGGGATGAGCCTTTAGTTAGGGCCATTATTCTAGGGGAAAAAAGTCTTTTCATTTTCATCAGATCTTGTAAGGAGTCTACAACCTGGATGGAATGAGAGTGTGTTCTAGAAAAATAAAAATACACTATCAACAACAACAAAAGTTACAGTTTTCTTATGCTCCAGGCAATAGTTCAGATAAACCTGCTGTTGGTGCTGCCCCTAAGTGTCATTTGGACAGTGACTGTGGCAGTTGCACGTGGATAGTTGTGGTTTCTCCTCAGTTTGGTAGGCTGAGGTCCAGGGAATTAATGCTCAAACTCAGGATGTTGCCCTTTTTTGGATGGCCACCTGGGTAGATATGCAAATGAACTCTCCACACATTGATATTGGGGCTCTGTGATATGGGGGATTGGAGTAGGGGCGAGGAGGCGAGGGATGAGGGCATAGTTTAAGGGGGAATATTCTCTTACAGTTTTATTCGCTCCTTCCTCTCTGTGAAGTCTTCCTCAGTCTTGGGGATTTGTAGAGATGGCCTCTCTGCTTGGAGAGCTTGGGAGGGCCTTATAGATTCTGCTTTGAGAGTAGTCTCTGTCCTGACAGTCTGGCTCTTCTCTGTTGCTGGAGATGAGTTTTCAGGGTTTAGAATGGAGTTGTGAATTGTTGTGGCCCAGAGTAGACTCAAAATTCCCTTTTCCCTATAGGATTTAGGTAGGTATTAGTGTGGATACAGAGTATTGACAGGAAGGGGAAAGGATACATTTTGTTCTTATGGTAGCAAAGGGCCCCTTACTGGCTTGCTTCTTGGCAAGCCCAAGAGCTGACATGAGACCATGTGGCATAGTGTTCGGAGGGTTGAGCAGGCTTCATTGAAATGGCTCAAGGCTCTTGGGTTACTTCTGCCTAGAGATTGGATAACATTTGGGATCCGGTTTGGTTCTAAATTCACTCTCCCTGCCTTTTCCCAGGCTATCCTATCCCTAACTCTGTGGTTCCATACGAAGTCATGGTTGTTGTGGAGCCAGTATAGATGCATATAGCTCCAAAAAAGAATAGAAAGTGCGAGTTCGGTGAGGTTCAGGCTTGGAGCTGTACAATCAGAACCACCTTGAAGGTCACAAAGAAGAACCATTAGGAGGATGGGAAGGGACAATGCATTAGTATTTTGGCTTTGGCTCTTTTGGATTTGGGAGGGGTGCTGGCATAGGGTGCATCTGTGGAACTGTGCTAGATGTTGGCCCACTGGGTGGCTTTCCGCTGTTGGGCAGAAGGCTGCCTCAGACAGAGAAGCCGTTTGGGAAGAGGGAAGGAAGCAGGATGGGAGAGTGACCATGTACCTTTGCGGGGGCAGCAGCTAGATGATCTCAGACCTCCTTTGCTGAGGAGATCCTCCTGTCATCTGCTTGCATCAGCTCCTGGGCTTTTACAAAATCGGAAACCTTTCACCTGGAGCCCTGAAGAACAGTGCTACTCCAAGTGACCGTCTGCAGTGAGAGGAGCAGTACACACACCAGAATGTAAAACTGTCCCTTTATCAAAAAATGTGTTATGAAAAAATGTTAGAACTAAATAATGCATTTATTCTGACATAATCGATTTATATTCTGGCATCATATAAGCTTCCTATCTATCAGTGTCTTTCCTTCCTTTCACCTGGTATTACAGATTGCAAGTCAGGTCAGGAGTTAATCTGCAGACCACACTTTGAGTAGAAATGCTCTCAAGCTGCCTCTAGTTTAGAAGCAGTTGTCCAGGTATTGGAATCGTGCTTACTGTACCAAACTAGAAATATAGAACCCTGGTTACAAGGAGCTGCTGCCAGACCTTTGGTACTTGGGTCAGGGCAGGTTACTGGGGAGAGAGGGGAGCACAACTGAAATGAGAAACAATTGAACAGGTGATGGGGGAGTGCCTGCGACAAGAGGGTAAATGCCCTCTTCTCCCTTGCCTCTTCCCACACACATTTGAGCCGTAAGGGACTAGAGCTAGGGACCTTTCTATAGGATTTTGGTTTTGCCTGTTCCTTCTGATGGCAGGTCAGCCACACTGAGATTACCCTGTCCTTTCAGGAAAACTGCATGCACTGGAAAAGAATTCATTGGTTGTCCTTGTGATCACTCCAGGATGTAACCAGCTTCCTTCTTTGGAGTCACTGGAAAATTGTAAGTATCACCCTGTTTCCTGTTGTAGAGAGCAAGTGGTTGTCTGGAGCTGTAACTCTGCTTGGCCTGGCCTAAGTTTCCTCATGCTAGGCCTAGAGCCCTCCATGATGTGGAAACCCAGGGTCACCAAAGGCTGAGAGCTGTAGAAGGTGAATTTGTCATGCACTCTAACCAGTGTCTTAAGGTTGGCTGTGGAACGTCACAGTGGCTTTTCACTGAGTCCCACAGGACATCTGCCTTCTGGACTACATATAGTTCCATTGCCATTGTACGAATTTGTACACTTGGCTGATTTTCTTTGAGAGACCCCACTCTGGGGAGAGAAGAAATGTTTGGTCATAATGTTTTTGGATATGACTGAAATGAAGCCAAGTCATTAGCCCTGTGCTGTGTGCTGTCCTCCCGGAGCAGCAGCATTTGGGAACTTCTCAGTCTCCAAAGTGAACATTATGGCTTGAACAGTCTTGGCTTCTTCCTCACATTCTTGGATGAAGTAGCGAATGAAGCCTAGAGACAAAGGGAAAGGAGGGGGATTACAAAGGCTTTGGGAACATCGTAACCTGGACACACCCTCCAACCATCCCTATCCCCCTCATACTTTCAGCTACAGGCTGGCAGGAACTCATGTTTCTGGAAGGGGGAGACAACCACAAGGCAAGTGGGCTTTTCTGTTCTAGTCTGACCCTCATCCGGCATTGTCTTCTAGGGCCTGCAGAGTCTCTGGGTGACCACCCTCCCACCCTGGCCCAAGACCTAGCTGACCTTCAGCTGCTCTGCTCTGGGGATGTCTTCTCTTTGAAAGGAAAAAAAGAATTTGATCTTGCTATTGTTTTTTGATTCAAGGATTTACACAGGACGTGGGATATGTAATCTGAGAGTAGAAGTCTTTAACCAGTGGGGTCATTTCTGTCATTTCAGACACTCTGACCATAAATGATGATCATTGTTTCCTCCTGTCTGAGACTGTCTGGGGAGCTCTCCGAGGTAACATGGGGACTGATCCTGGCGGGGGGTGGGGGGTGGCGGGAGAGAAAGACATGAAGTGCGAAGGTCAGTGTTGGTGGGTTGGGAGAACAAGACGGGGGCGGGGGGCAGCACATACCGCCACTTGAGGAAGCTTTCTTTATGGAGACCAATTGGAGTGTTTTCCCATGTCCCTAAAGGGAGTATTCTCCTTACACCTACCCTTCAAAGTTGACAGGTATCAGCACATGCAGTGGCAACAGCAGCTCGCCTGGGCAGGTGCTCTGGGGAAGCAGGGAGAGACCCTGCAGGCTGATGCTGAGGGTGCCAGCAGGGAACAGGCTGCTTGGGACTCTGCCACAAACACTGCCTGTTCAGCTCTCACTTAACACACATAATTGGAGAGGTTCTTTAAAAAGAAAAACTATATCACAAGAAATAGATAAATGTCAAAGAAGAAAAAGGAAGTAAATAATAAGATGTATAGAACTATAGTATTTCATGAGAAAATTAGCACTTAACTGGCTAACACGTGATGGGCCTGTACCCTTCCTCTTGGTTTACTGAAAAGTAACCAAGGTTGCTTGGTTACTGAAAAGGTATTTGATCATTAGATAAAGACTTAGTCAAGTACCTATACTACTTTTGCAAAACCCCTGCTGTTGAATGAGGAGGGAAATTCTCACAGGATTTCAAACCTTGTTTGGGTTCCTCTTTGTCCCCTTACCTGTCCTCTTCTCCTCTCTTGTATTTTGGAGAACAGGGGACTGACTCCCCTCTTTGCTCTCTTACACTTTTTGTACAGGTGCTATGATTAGGTTGGGGCTGGGGGAAATCTGAGGACTCCAGAATTCTGGATGTCAGAATCAGAGAAGAAAGAAGCCAAAGCAGTATAGGAATAGTCGACCTCGAAGCAGATGCTGAAAAAGATCTCAAATTCTTTCATTCTGAAATCTGGGGACTCTGGAAATCCTCCTAATGGGTTTTCAGAAAAGGGACTCCAGCTCTTGGGAACATATAATGCTCTGGACTCAGGATGCCTGCACTCAGGCCTTGCCAGAATCCAGTAGGAGTTTGTGTCCAGTGGACTAGGGCAGTCCTTCTGGGCCAGTTGCTGCTGGCTATACCTCAGCTCCCTATAGCTGGTTCCCTTCTCAAGGTCTCAAGAAGAAAGGTGGATGATTCTTTGTCTTCTGGATCCTGCTGTGGACCCAGGCTCCTTGGAAACTTAAGCTTACGATCACTTTTCCATAATTCAGTCTGGGATAATAGCAGGGGTAGTAGGTTGAGGATCTCTTTTTCTCAGCTCCTGATCAGTATTAATCATGGAAAGCCTTAACCCATGTGAGCTGGCTTGTCCCTGCATCTGTACTCACAAGTAGACATTTTGGCCTCTCTCAATGCTCTTGTGAGTTCAAGGCTTAGGGAATATGGATAAGAAGTATGTGGATTTTGAAGGTTAGTGTGTTCCTACAAGAGGCACTAAAACCCCTTACACTGCCACCTCCCAAAATAAGAGAGTAAAAATAAATACTGGCTTCGTAGTATCCCCTTTGCATCAGTGTTGAGACTCATCAAGCCCATACTATATCCACTTTTACTGTGTGCCCAAGCATTCTCCTCTGCCACATTGGGAACCTGCCAAATGGGTGCATCTCTTTTCCCACCTCCCTAAGCCTTTACCGTGCCTCTCTACTTCCCCATAGGTCTGGAGACTTTTAGCCAACTTGTTTGGAGATCTCCGGAGGGCATGGTAAGTGGGGGCCCTCAAAAAGGGTTCCTTTTAAATCTCTGGGATTTGCTCCCAGTGTTGAGAGTCCTAGGAATAATTTACTTTGCCTTAGACAGATTCCTGGTAGTTCAAAATGGCCCCAATAAGAATTAGAAGAAGACATGGGTGGAAACTGGTTTGGTAGATTTGGCCTGTTTGGAATCACTGTAATTTAGTTCCTCTGAGTCATTATTTAGTAATGATCTTGAGACCACACTGCTTTAAAGAAAACAGATTAACAGTTAAAATCCAGAAATTGTAGGCTGAGTGGTGTATGGGACAGCTATATCTAGCTAGCATGGGACTCTTGCCCTCTGACAGTGCCTGCTTGTGGTCCTTGAGATGTGGGGCATTTGGGGAGATAGTTGCTCTGCAGAACAGTCATAGATTGACTTTTGAAGGATCAGGAGACTTTTCCTCATCCCCCTCCACCCTCCATGGTGAGTTCCCATTGAATCCTGACATGTTCAATGTTTGGTCTGCACAGTTCCTTATCAACAAGACTGAGATTGAAGATTTCCCCCGCTTCTCCCACCGGGGGTTGTTGTTGGATACGTCTCGCCATTACCTGCCACTGACTACCATCATGGACACTCTGGTACCCGGGCCTTAAGGCCATCTTTGCCCTTAGTGTTCTGGGGTGATGCGGTAAGGGGTAGACCCATTGCCACATTCCTAAAGAGTTACAGAGGGAATATGTGTAACTTTACAAGCTCCTAGAGAAAATGGAAAAGATGATCCGCTGTAAGAAAAAAAGGAATGATTTAAAGCTACCTCACTGGCTACTCTGGACCAATGTCCTTGTCATCTTCAGGAATGCAGAAGGTGGTTTGAGGAATTGGCTTCTTTTGATCAAGCCGAGCTTATTTTTGTTTAGTTAAGGACAAGGTCATAGGAAACAGATGTTCAAAAGCCATAGCTCAGGATGTTCCTATCTTTCTTGAGTTTGGTGGCCAGTCTTATCTTACAGTTGCGATCCAGCTTGTGTCTACCTTTGCTCCTCTGGTGGAATCAAAGGAGTGGACACATTCATCAGTCCTGGCCTCTGAGATTTGTGGGTTATGGGGCTACTAAATTCAACAATAGACTTCACAGTTTGGATAAATGTTAGGCAACTCAGAACAAATGGTGGGAAGAAATATTAGTCTTTGAGGTATTGTGGTGCTTTTGGAAGACCAGGGTACCACATAGTTTCAGCTGTCCTCTCAATGTGGCTAAAACACATCTCAAAAAAGGGAAGTAATGCCTCTGTCAGACATCTTTGGATGTGCCCTGGGAGGAGAAATGTGCTAGGTCTTCCCTCTATGGGAAGATTTGATAGATAGACCCTATAAACATTTATCAGGAAGCTGGGGCAGATTGAGCCTATCGGGGTATGTGGAGCAGCCTGCCAGTCTGCCTACCTTCCCAAGTTTGAGGCCCAAACTGGAGAAGCTGTGATGAGTTCACAGTGTGTGCTCTGATCTACAGGACGCCATGGCATACAATAAATTCAATGTGTTCCACTGGCATCTGGTTGATGACTCTTCCTTCCCATATGACAGCTACACTTTTCCAGAGCTCACCAGAAAGGTATGTCTTAATTTCTCCAAGAGCAAGTTTATGGATTGATGTCTGAGCCTGGCTCTGGCCCTGCTGGCAAGGACACTGGCTCTCATCCTAACCAGCCAGATTCAGGAAGGGCCCTGGATTTGGAACCAGGAGACCTAAGTTTGAGTGTCCGAACTTTGCCATTAATTTTCTCTGTGAAAGATAATCTCACCTGGTCTCATTTTCTTTTTGTTTGTTTATATCCTGCTGTGTGCCTGCCTTATTGTCTCATTGGCATTATGATGCTCAGATAAAGCAATAGATGTGCTAGCTTGTGGGAAATTAAAAGATCCTAGGAGATGGTCCCTGATACCAAAGAGCTGTGGGTAGACTTTCTGAGGTGCAGGGAGTCCTGGATGCATTTTTAGTATCTTCTATTCTGCTAGCCTTCAAGAATTGATATTGTTAAGGGTGTCTTGTGCCTTTCAGGGATCCTACAATCCTGCCACCCATATCTACACAGCACAGGATGTAAAGATGGTGATTGAATATGCACGGCTTCGGGGTATCCGTGTGTTGGCAGAGTTTGACACTCCTGGCCACACTCTGTCCTGGGGACCAGGTAAGAATAATGTCGGATTGAGAGAATCTACTGATCCCCCTAGGTGGGCTTCAGGGCATTGGACTCTTGGATGTGCTATGCCCCTGCCCTGGTCCCTGGAAGAATGTTTCCCATCACCATCTTCCACCTGGGAATTTAGATAACCAGAACCTACTTTGGACAAAAGAGGCCACTGTTTACTATTAAACTATGGGCAGATTCTTCTCAGATGTCCTTGTGATGCTCTTGCACGTTGTGCCCTAGAGTGGAAGAAAGATCTTGCCAATTTGGCTGAATTGGGCAGTCTCCTTCCCGCCCAAAGGTGGTACGAGAGCCCCCTTAGGGAACAAGGGTGACCCCTGCTGGAAGCAGTGTGTCAGGGCCAAAGTATGTGATAGCTGTCTGGCTGTAACCCAACCTCTGATTATGATCGAGGATATATTTTTATTTCTTTGTGACTAAAGACTCATGATCACCAGTGTCTGTGTATGCCTGGTGGTCCCTCCCTACGTGCATGTAATGTTTATGAACACGATTATCTTACGTTGTACACCTTAATGTCCATAAGTGTATGACTGCTTGGGGGTCTATGTATTTGTGACACTTATGTGGGGTTCTCTGTCGGCTTAGGTGTCCCTGGATTATTGACTCCTTGCTACTCTGGGTCTCATCCTTCTGGCACCTTTGGACCAGTGAATCCCATTCTCAACAGTACCTATGAATTCATGAGCTCATTTTTCTTGGAGGTCAGCTCTGTCTTTCCAGATTTTTATCTTCACCTTGGAGGAGATGAGGTTGATTTCACCTGCTGGTATGATCCCTTTGATCTTCTCATCCCTGCCTCATGAGCTGCTCACTCAGCATAGAGGTTAGCGCCTAAGAGGCTACCTATCTCAGGTGCTCCTCAGGGGCTAACCTCTCTGAACAGTCTGTCTCAGTCCAGACAGCTCAGGTCTTGGGCTATTCCTCTGTCGACCTACATCGGGGCCCTACCTGATTTTGGCAAGGCTGTAAATGTGAAACTGTCCCTTCCTCCTTTCATATCCTCGATATACTTACAGAAGAACCAGGTCTGAGCAGAGAATTGTCTTGGGAAAGTCCAAGATAGAGAAAAATAATCCTCGCCTTTCTGAAATAGTCTGGTTAAAGAGTCAAAACACAGATGAATTTGAGACTAATATATGAAAGTGTCTAGTCAGTATTAAACTGTAAGGTCCAAACCATCAGATCTACTTAGCTCAAAGGAGGTTGATGGGCTTCTCTGAGAAGTGGACCATAGAGCTGGATCTGGGGAAATAGGCTTTTTGAGAAGTGGAGGGAGGGGGAAAACATTCCAGGAGGAAATGTGAGTGAAATGTAAACGTTCTTGGGAGAAGGAGCTGCAGCAGGTAACAGCAAGACTTGTGGCCAGCTGGAATAAAGAATAAATGGTAAGGGGGAAAAAAGCAGAATATGCCTGAGTAGAGAGTTAAACAGGGAAACCAGAATCTGGTGCCAGAGCCTCAAACCCACGACCACAGAGCAGTAGACCAGGCAGGTTAATATATGTTCTTGTTGAGAGTTTATATTTAAAGCTCTTGGGATCCAAACTCCTCCTTTCTCAGCCTGTGTCAGTGGCTCCCTTCACATAGCTTTGGTCGGCCACACCTGCATATTTGGGGCCTCTGAGATCCAAAGTTGATTGGTTTCTCAAGTGAAAAAAGAAGTTGTGGGAAGCCAGGTGACTAATCCCCAAGCTTTAGGCTTTGGGGATGTTGAAATAATTAATCTTCATTTTCTCTTGGGATTTAGGAAGTCCAACCCAGATATCCAGAACTTTATGAAGGAAAAAGGCTTTGGCAGTGACTTTAAGCAGCTGGAGTCCTACTACATCCAGACGTGAGGAAGGAAGGAGGGTGGGCAGGGTTTCTTGGTGTTATGTCTTGGGTCCTCACTTTCCATACCAGGGCCAGGTCCTGCTTGACCACTTTCTGGGCCCTTGAAGGGATACTTTGCCCTATATTTGCAGTTGTGGAGTAGTCAGTTCCCAACTAGGGAAGACACTGCTCAATCAGGAGTGGGCTCTTAGCCTCAACCCCTGGAGCACTGGCACCAACATCCTAGAACCTATTTGAGCTGAGCAGACCCTTTCTTTACTCTCTAGGCTGCTGAACATCGTCTCTGCCTATGACAAGGGCTATGTGGTGTGGCAGGAAGTGTTTGATAATAAAGTAAAGGTGAGCCAGGGGCAGAGAGAGAAGGAGCCACCTGTAGTACCTCCCTCTGGTCTCTCAGCCCTTTCCTGCCTCTGCACAGATCGATCCTTCCTGGCTTTGGATTAGGCTTTAATGTTTAGAGCACTGAGGGGCCATCTCTCCTTTCCCCCCAGAAAGGTCGCAGAGGTATGAGCCCTGGGTGTGAGTGTCAGAACATCTGTCCATCTTCCCTCACCACAAACTGAGGCTACTTAGGATTCCTGAGCCTGGCATGCTGGGTTAGGTTTTCCTTTCTGAGTCATAGACTAAGGTCTTCCAGATCTGGGAACAGGGCTGCTTCCCTTCATTGCTGATCACTTAGGTCCCAGCCTCTTGCCAGATACAGGAGCTCTGCAGGAACCTTGTCTCATCCTCAGAAACATCTGGAGATTCTTGGGCGTGTTAGTTCTTGATGAGTATGCTAGGCCCCACTGCTTGTCTCCCTTAGCTCATAGCCGGTATTACTGTCCCATTATGGCTGCAGAAGGACTGGGGGTGGAAGCAGCGGGGAGGACTCCTAGGGCCTACAGAATCCTTGGCCTCTGCACCGGGCTAGGAGCTCAATGGTTAGGAGTCACAGAGAAATACTTGCTGCATGAGAGCAGAGCGGGCACGTACCACTTGGCCTGGTTAGTTTGCATAAGCATGAGGGCCAGAAATACCCTCAGCTATGTGCCATTATCTTGTGACAGGTTCGGCCGGATACAATCATTCAGGTATGGCGAGAAGAGATGCCAGTACACTATGCGAAGGAGATGGAGCTGATCACCAAAGCTGGCTTCCGTGCCCTGCTCTCTGCCCCCTGGTACCTGAATCACATAACTTATGGCCCTGACTGGAGTGAAATCTACATGGTGGAGCCCCTGGAATTTAAAGGTGAAAGCAGGAAGCTCTCCTTGCTGACCAAAGGAGGCTGGGCTGGTGCACAGTGCAGGAGACGGAGGGTCTGGGCTAGACCTTTCAGGTTAGCTGAGACGACCAATCTGAAGAGAGGGCTACATTGGGAAGGTAGTTGAAGGGAAACCCTAGGGTTGCACCCTCCCAACCCCCTCCCGCCCCAGCAGCCTGTTGTTTTTTGTTTTCTCTCAGGAAGTCCTCAGCAGAAGGCTCTAGTGATTGGTGGAGAGGCCTGTATGTGGGGAGAGTATGTGGACAGCACAAATCTGGCCCCCAGACTCTGGTAAGGGTTTCCTGAGTATGTGGGTGGTTGTGTTTATGGATGTGGGTTCTCCCCTATAGACTCACTCCTGTCCAATCACCCCCAGACAAGTACCCTCCTTCCAGGCCTGAGAAAGAAGGAGCTGTACATTTTGAGAACACCTGCTGCTACTGTCAATAACAGTTCATGATGCCTTTACAACTTACTCTGGTTCCATATCTTTGGGAGAGGAGGAAAGTGTGATCACGACCCACATCTTAATGAAGTTGGAGCTGAGCCCTAGAAATCCCTAGGAGCCCCCTCCCCTGCCCCCCAGCCAGGTTGTCGCTGTGAATAACCTTGGCCCGGAATCCAGGGCACCTAAATAAGAGGCGGCAGCCTGTGGGTGTCCAGCACCCTTGCAGGGAATACAGAAGCTGACCTGGTGCGTGATCTTTCCCTCTAGGCCCAGAGCAGGGGCTGTGGCTGAGAGGCTGTGGAGCAACAAGTTGGTGACTAACCTGGACTCTGCCTTTAAACGTTTGACACAATTCCGCTGTGAGCTACTAAGGTAAGCAGGCAGGCTGTGGGGGGGCCCTTCCCGCAGTAGGGGGAGCCAGTTGGGGGCATACTGACTGGAAAAAAAATACCAATAAAAGCTGATGCTTACAGAGGCTGACTTTGTGGCAAGCACCGTGCTGAGCCCTTTATAGGCATTATTTCATTGAGTCTTGACCACAACTCTGGAAGGTAGGTAGTTTAGCCTCACTTTAGAGATAGGCATCTGAGGTGCCGAGAAGTTAAGCCCCAAATCACTCAGAACCAGAATTCGGTCCAAGTCAACTTCAAAGTCTATGCCCTTAGCCATCATGCGTTTATGGCCTCTCATGACGCCTGTGCCACTGTTGGGGTTGGGCCTGCATAAGATGGTCCATTTCCCTAATTTATTCGTTGACTAAGTGTTGAGAACCTGGAGGACTCAGCCTAGTGCAGAGCTGAGAGCCAGCATGGCAAGGTCTAGGCTTCAAGCGTGTGCACTTCAATGGGCAACTTTGAGCTAGTCCCTTACCATCTCTTAGCACGTTGCACATGTGAATAATGAAGCAGGCATGCCCAGAGGTCCCCTATGGAGATTGGTCACATCCTGGAACTTGCGCAGCTGAACTGGATTTCATGTCCACGCCCTGTGCATGAACAGGACAGCGCATTGGTCCCCCACCGCTGCTGCATTTATAGGATTTGAGCCATTAAAGGGGGGCTCTGGGCCTGGAGCACTAGGTACCCCTTAGACATGAGCTCTTTCTAACGGTATTGCATTGTTTGGGACTCAGGTACAGTGACTGGCAGGGTAGAAATAGAGAGGTGTTTCCCAAAATTCCTGGACATCCCTGTGTCGGAATCACCTCGGGGGCCTGTTCTTGCCAACATGTGACCCCAGGCCAAGTAAGACTCTCTGGAAATGAGAGTCCCTGAGTCCTTCTGGTGTACAGCCGCAGTTAGAGATCCACCGAAATAGGGAAAAAGGGAGACTGTTGGTTGTGACAGAGGTGTTGCTGGGGCCTTGGACTGACCCCATCTGAGTGGCTCATCTTGCCCTGTTTCTTCATGTCCTCTTGCAGGCGAGGTGTCCAGGCCCAGCCCCTCAATGTAGGCTACTGTGAACAGGAGTTTGAACAAACCTGAGCAAGCAGCCCCAGGCACTGAGGAGAGGGTGCTGGCCCTAGGAGAGCAGTAATGGGGCCAGGCTTCCACTGCATCCCGCCCGGGGAACGCAGCCCCTTGCTCACGTGCCCCTGTCCATGGAGAGAAGGGGGCCAGTGTTGGCACTAGCACCTAATAAAGAGTGATGTGGCATATTTCCATAATGAACGTGGATTACCTGTGTGAGAGAAATGTGAATGGCCCTGGGGTAGGGAGCTACCTGCACTGGCCTTCTGCTCCTGAAAGCGATAGGCACAGCAGCCCCGGGCACCAGGCTGGCCTCAGTGTCTGCCCCTGGACTGGGAATGAGACCCTGTGCAGCCTGAGTCCTGTGATGCTTCTCCCGCCCCCAGCCCGCAGTCTAAACACAAAATCTCATCCTCAGTCTGCTCACTTCCCTGTGAGTGTAGAGGTCCCATAGACCTCCAAGGCTTCTGTGTATGGAAGAAGGCATTAGAGTGGCCCAAGGAAGTTCTGGGGAGCGGCAAGGGCTCCAGACCCAAGCTAGTTATGGAGCAGCCCTCCCCCATGCATCCTTACACACTTCCTTCCTCTAGAACTTTTTTTTTTTCCTTTGGGTTTGGGTTTCTTGTTAATTCAGTTTCATGCAATCATTATTTCAATATTATTGAACATATGTTGTGGTCTTGACACTATGGTAGGTGCTGCGTTTGAAGGACTTGGTCCCCAGAGACCATAGTCCACTCCCTAGTATCCAGCAACTTCCACCCACCTCCTCCCGGCAGCCCAGTAGCATCTTCTCAAAGAATTGATGGCACAGCTGAAGCCAGGAGGAAAGCCCCTGAGGGCCAGGAGGTGGCTGTGTGGCTCTGAAAGAGGTCTTTGCGCATGTGGCCAGGTTTGCCTGAGAGGAAATGGCTCCTTGTTTGGCCAGATCGCCCCTTGGTGCTTTTGTGTTCAGAAGCAGTGACTCAGTCCGGAGTCTGAGGTCATGTAGCAACTGTTTTAGATGAGGATTTCTTTGACCCTTATTTAATTCTTTTACCTGGTCCTGGGCTGAAAGGGCAGTGGGGTCTCAGGCATTTCTTTCACGTTTCCAGTGTGGTAGATACAGAAATTTGGGGAAGGCAGGCTGAGAGGGGATCTGAGTAGTGTGGTCCTTAGCACCTTTAGTCTCTTTCTCATGCTCCCTTGGGGACCTGAGTGGAGGTGCACCAGGCGGGCCTTCCTGTGCTGCTTTTACAGGAACGGGGGTTAGAATCCTCCTGGGGACGAGGTCTCCACACAGCCCAGGTTAGCCACGCCCAGGGCTCTAGTGTAGAGAGGCCCAGGCTAAGCCTCTAGCATTTGCACCACCAAAGGAACCCCTTACCTGGGACCCTGAAATGCTGCTTACTTCAGACGCCCCTCCTTTCTTAACTAATCATAACTAATATCGTTACTTTTGAGATAATGTTAAATTAAAAAATTGGACACTTAGGTCGTTTCAAGTCAGTGAAGGAAAAGTCCAGGGAAACACTGTTGCAGCAGTAAGTTTCTATGATTTTTTTAAAATTATTATAAACATTTCTATAATGTTATTTTTACTATTAAAAAAAAATCCAATCCATGTGGCCCAGTCAAGACGTTGACTTGTGGGCTGTCCTGCTCCCCACCCTCCACCATTGCTCCTGTGGGCCCACTGACCCTGAGCGCGTTGACCTGAAGATCCTCATCAGACCTGGAACTGCTGAGAGGTGGGAGGCAGGGCCTGCAGCAGCCCCTGCTGTGGTGCACAGAATCACTGCTTCTCCATCTCCTCCGCCGCTGTGAATTGTGCCCCGCCCAGCACAGGGCCCCCTGCTGCGGCCTGCGGTGTTCCCTGCGCTCCACCAGGGGGCAGGCAAGTGCCTAGGCGGACTCTTCATCTACGTGCAGACTCCTCCCTGCTCTCCTGTGCTGCTTACTGAGGATGCAAAGCAGACCTAACAGGGATAAAAATAAAGGAGTGAACGGAGACCGGGAGGACATGCAGTGTCCCCTCTTCCGTTGGAGTTGAGATCGAGTGGCAGATAGCACCGCACCCCTCCTCTACCCCGCCCTTGGAATCTAGGGTTTTCAAGTGCCCGTTAGTGCACTAGCGTAGGGATAGGAAAGCAGAGGGCTTGAGGGCATCGGAGCTCCGCAGCACTAATGATGAGGATGGCAAGGTGTTAGTTAGGAAGGCCTAGTGATAATGTGGGAGGGGGGACTATTATGTGGATATAGACTGTACTTAATTTATATTGGGATGCTTGGGTGGCTCAGCAGTTGAACATCTGCCATTGGCTTGGGGCATGATCCCGGAGGCCCGGGATTGAGTCCTGCATAGGGCTCCCTGCATGGAGCCTGCTTCTCCCTCTGCCTGTGTCTCTGCCTCTCTCTATGTGTGTCTCATGAATAAATAAATAAAATCTTTTTTTAAAAAAATTCATACTAATGTACATATACACACGTGGTAACATTAATGCACTCTGAGGTTTAGATTTTTATAGTTTTTGTCAACATCACTTGTAAGATTAATGAATACAGGCCATGACAATTGTGTTTCCCCACTAAGAAAGAAAATAAATAGGAAGTGGATACTTTGTCTATTAAAATCATTCTGTATTTTTTCTTACAAATAAACTCTGAAAATTTGAAAAGTAGTCTTCTTTTATTCCAACTGTTAATAATAAGTGTAAAACATAAATGTATATTAACCAATTTCAGTGAAATGTTTACTTGTTGAATTTTCTCATTACTGTTCACTCTGTATATAAATCTTCACAGTCCAGTTTTTAAAAATCCTTTTTGTAGCAGTCCTTGTGTGTGTGTGTTCTCCATTTTTAAAGAGATTTTAAAAATGAAATGGTCCGTGAGTCTTGTTTATTTTCACAGTAATTACTATACTTTAACCACATCCATGTTATGTGTTCTCTATCAGTCACTACTTACATTTTTTCATGATTTCACATGTTTCGAACAAATGGAAAAATGTAGGTAATAAAATAATAAACACAGTATAACCACCACCCAAGTTTATCACATCTCGGTAGTTATATTTGCTTCGGATTTTTTTAAAGAGATGTTATGTATGTCCCCTTTCCCAGTCCCAGTTCCCTTCCCAAAATAACCGCTTTCTAGAATTTTAAATCTCATTTCCTTTGGAGTATCTGATACTTAGCTGTGATTTTTCTTCATTGTTAATAAATTTTTTTTACAGCTCACTTTGTAACAAATTAGGGATGTTTTAGAAGGCACCCCCAAAAGAGGAGACAGAGTGAATGTGTATGTTAGACCAGCTGGGCCGCAGACATGGCCTGAGAAGAGGGGCATCTCTGCAGTCCTGGTGTGCTGCTGAATGTAAGAGAAAGCATTTTGGAAGTGTCTGGATAATCTAATATAAAAGAGGAAATCCTGAACATAGGAATTTTAAGAAAACTGAACATTTATCTAGACTCACATAAATCAGAAATTTGAAGATGCTTGTGAAGATCTATCTAGGGGAACAGTGCTTCTTCATTTTTATGTGCTTTCTGTGTCCGGTAATGTTATAAGTACTTTATTGGATATTAACTTATTTAACCCTCATCCTAAGCAGTGACTTAGGTATCAATATTATCCTCACTTTTTATTTTTTATCATCATCAGACAAGGAAACAGATCAAATGGCTACACAGTTGGGCTCAGTCAGGATTTGTACTTAGGCAGTATGGATCGAGGCTCCCCTGGCTAACTGTACCTTACACTGTACCTGGCCGTTGGCCACTGGCCCACACTGCACTCGTCCTGCTCTTGGACACTACACTCAGCCACTCAGATAAAGCTGGGTACTCGGCTATATCTGGGATCGAGTTCATTTCCTCCCGCTTTGCTCTTCAAATCTTTTCCTTATGGATGACTTCTTTCTCTCTGCACACAAACAGGCATAATATGTCAGTTTTCTGCTTTTAATTTTTCAAAATCGCCCCATTGTCAAATTCACTTAGGGTATGCTAGTGCTCCCTTTCAAAATGATGTGTCTCTTGACCTCTCCATCATTCCCTGACATTCTACTTGTCATAGGACTCTAGTTGCAAGGGAAAAAAAGGTTTAAGCAAAATAATATTGCCTCATGTAACTGCATACTTCATGTAATAGGAGTCAACACGTAATAGGAGTCAACAATTATATGATCTAATGAAAGATACAACTTTATAGAGAGAACTATTACGTTTCTGAAGAATACAAGAAGACCCAGATGTAGATAGGTAACATGTTCATGAATAAGAAGACTCAAAATTGTAAGGATTTAAATATCTATCGATTCAATGTGATCCCAATTAAAATACAAATTTTACTTTTTATTCTAAATTGGTCTAACAGGTAATTGTTCAGAATGATACCAACAGGGCAGCCCAGGTGGCTCAGCGGTTTAGCGCCGCCTTCAGCCCAGGGTGTGATCCTGGAGACCTGGGATCTAGTCCCACATTGGGCTCCCTGCATGGAGCCTGCTTCTCCCTCTGCCTGTGTCTCTGCCTCTCTCTCTCTCTCTCTCTCTCTCTCTCTCTCTCTCTCTCTGTGTGTGTGTGTATCTCTCATGAATAAATAAATAAAATCTTTTAAAAAATGATACCAACAATGTATTTGATTATTGTATCCTATAAATGAAATAAATGACTAATGTTATTAAGGATGGGAGGGAAGAATTGGAAATACTCTGTTATAAGGCTCTTATACTACTTGTGAAGAAGTATAGTGTTATTTAAAAGTGGAATTGCATTAGTTACAAATGTATTTCACAAAATCTAGGGCAGCCACTAAAAAGGTTATAAAAGAAAGTGTAACTGATAAAGTGGCTAATAAAGGAGAGAAAATATAAAATGCCCAATTAAAACCATAAGAGGCAGGAAAAGAGTAAAATACCAAAAATAGAAACAACAAAGAAGGGCAACAAATGAAAAACAGTAACCAACATGTTAGTAATCTAACATCAATAATCACTTTAAATATGAATAGCCTAAACACACCAATTAAAAAGACAAATTGCCAGAGACGATTAAAAAAGGCTCAACTACACATTATAAGAAACTCACTTTTTTTTTTTTTAAAGATTTTATTTATTCATGAGAGACACAGGCAGAGGGAGGAGCGGGCAGGGAGCCCGTCGTGGGACTCTATCCCGGGACTCCAGGATCACGCCCTGGGCTGAAGGCGGCGCTAA